AAAAAAAAAAAAGAGTAAAGAGGGGGCCGGGCTCACTCCTGTAATCCCAGCACTTTGGGAGGCCGAGGTGGGTGGAGTTTAAGGAGGTCAGGAGTTCAAGACCAGTCTGGCCAAAATGGTGAAACCCTGTCTCCACCAAAAATACAAAAATTACCCAGGCTTGGTGGCAAGCATCTGTAATCCCAGCTACTCTGGAGGCTGAAGCAGGAGAACCATTTGAACCCCAGAGGCAGAAGTTGTAGTGAGCAGAGATCACACCACTGCACTCCAGCCTAGGCAACAGTGAGACCCCCATCTCAAAGAAAATAAAGAGGAAAGGTGGTGGGTTATTAGCCACCATGATAAACAGAAGCATGTAGCAGGGACACACAGTATTGTTGGGCTGCCTGTCCAGTACCCAATAAATGTTTGTTATTGAATGAACACCTAACTGTAATTCATGAATTTTAGTTCATTTTTAATATAACAAGCTCTGATAGTAATCAGCAAAAGAAAAGCACTGGATGAGTTGGAATCTGGGTTATAAATCTAGGTATGTGTGACCTTTTGCAAGGCATTTACCTTTCTGGGCCTCAGTTTCATCAGACTGGATAATCAGCATAAGATCACCTCAGATTAAAATAAATGATGCCATAAATTTTTATACAGGTTTGTGCATTACTTCAGTGTTCTTCAACTGTTACCAACCAAAGTAGTGCATCTCAAGATTTATTGAACATTCCTTTAATCTAGAGATCTTGTTAAAATTGCAGATTTTGATTCAGCAGCTCTGGATTGAGCCTGAGATCATGCATTTCTAATGAACTCCCAGGTGATGCTATACACCACAATTTGAGTAGCAAGGGTAAAGAACACTGATGCAACTTAAGCTCTACAAAGCTTATAACTGTACTTATCTGTAATCAGTCTGACAGTCGGCAAACCAAAGACACTACAGACTCACACTTGCACTAAATGTGTTTTGCCATTCCTTAAATGCTCTGAAATTAAGTCCCTATTTGAAGCTGATAAAGGAAAAAATATTACCATCAATAACACTAAATTAGAAGTGAGGTTAAATACATACACACACATAGGTACAAATATATAACACAAAGGTCAAAATCCAAATTATCAAACATTACTTTATTCAAAATTTGAATATTTTTATTGCTGGGAAAAAAAAAATTTGTTTCTGGAAAAATCTTCAGTGTATTTTAATAGCCACATGCCTACAAGGATCATGCTGCATTCTGGTTTGATTCCATATGTAAATATATTCAAACATCACAAAATCTGATGATTTTTCTATTAATGATCAGATAATCTTTACACATCTGTTTAAAACATCTAACATATTACCACAGCCAAATGTGTTTGTGGTGAAAACTCTCTTTGGCCTTAGGAAGTGGGACTAGGGCAGAGACCACCCTCCTACCCTGGGGCTATAACATATGGCCACAAACCATTACTGTAATTGTTTCTACTATACCCTGTGCTAGGTTACTGCAGAAACAGAGAAAATACCAGTCCTATCATAACCAAAAGGGAAAATGAAAATTTTTCTAATTTCACCGAAATTTTTCTCAGTAATGAAAGATGTAAAATGTGTCATGCAATGGATGTCTCCTATAGAAGAGTCACCCTGCCCTTAATCTGATGCTTCTCTACTGAACAGAGAAGTTTGAAATAACGTGAAAATGGAGGAGGAAAATTCCTATCCGAGGAGGGGAAAGCATTATGGCTGCAAACTGCTCTTCCTTACTTCCTTCTGAAGAATAACCGAAATCTGAAGGGCACTACCGCACTATAACTGAGCTCGTTTAAATTATGGAGGGGAGGAGGTATGTCAACTGCAACCTTGGCACTAGTAGTTTATTTACCAGTCCTTGCTATTTAGTCAAATCACTTTCAGATAGGAGTACTTCTCTCATTAACCACTATGTCACAAAATAATAAAGAAAAAATGACACAAGCAATGAGCAAAAGTAGTTTTGCTGAATCACAAATACCCCCAAATACAAATCTGCAGGAGTCGCTGAGCTTGAGAATTGGCGGCCATACCTCTCCATGAAGCTCCTCTCTACAAATGGACAACTACCTTCCCTCTTTCATTAAAAGCATGTAAGGGTCAAATGTTTAAAGCTATCACACTATTGCTATTAGCAACAAGGTCGTGTGCGCAGTAACAATGCACAACGGTCTTATAATCGAGATAACCACTTTATCTCAAATTTTGCACCACCTATCCCCCAAGGGCAAATACATCACCCAGGTCCGCAACCGCGGCCACGATGGGTACACTCGGTTCTGCTTAGCCTAGCATACTGTCCCTCCCAGCTCGCACCCTGATTGCTCCGCTACCATGCTGCCCACTCCCGGGCTTCCTCGGCCAGCCCCCAGTTCCCGGGGTTCCTAAGGTTACGCAAACAGCCAAGTCTGCAGGCCGCCCTTGCCTCGCTACCGTTATCCCTCATCTCCCGGTAGCCCCACTTTCCTCCCTCGCCTCTCGGGTCTCGGGTGCCCAACCCACTCCCTTCCACTCCCGCGCGCTCTGTGGCTCTCGGGCCGGGGCCTCACCGTTTGGTTCGGTCGGGAATTGCCCGGCCCTCCCGCTCCCACTTCCCAACACGAAGTGGCGTCGGTTGGTCCCGCGCCCACGCTGCCAGTCCCCACGCCGCCGCCTACTGATGCCGAAAGCGGCTTCTAGGAACACGCCATGTTTAGCGTCGCGGTTCCAAACGACGCGGACGCGCGAAAACTACGTCACAGGAGCCCAGCGCGCATGCGACCAGCAAAGAGCGAGGGCGATAGGCGAACGGTGGGAAGGGGAAGGAGGGGCTTTCTCTTCGAACCAAAAGGCGCGGGGTAGCCAAATCAGTTGTGAGCGCTTGCGCAGTATAAAGAGCCGGGAGTCCGGACTAGCCGGATCTGTCACCATGGAAACCATAGGTCTGGTTTGCCCCACTCCCAGGGAGCTCAATTGTTTCCCGGGTTGATTGAAGCTTCAATCAGAACCATTTCACGCTTTCTATTCTAGATATCAATTGCGGATCCGTCACAGCAGAGAAGAGTTATTTAAAGAATCTTACTCCCATCAGTCCACCCTCCCTCCCGCAAATGTTTATTTTTTTAAGTTACCCAAATTGCTTGCTGTTTACTCCTGAGTAATAGAAAGTGTGGAAAAATATAAAAGGACATAAATCCAGTTTTGCTTGCCTCTGCTAAAAGCTAGCATAGTCACCTAAATGTTCTTATCCTCAAAAAGAGAACTTACTCAGGCGCAGTGGTGCATGCCTGTAGTCCCAGCTACTCCAGATATTGAGGCAGGAGGATCACTTGAGCCCAGGAGTTCGAAGCCAGCCTGGGACATATAGAGAGTTCACACATTTCAAAAATAATATGGGGTG